TGGTATTGTGATCAGGATTGCATCTGAAAAAGAAGATGAAAAAGGATATCAGATAATAGAAAGATAACTCTTATCTATGGATAGGAAGAACTAACATTGTAAAAGTGGCACACTCCCAAAAGTATGCTATGAAGCTACTGTGATAAAATCAGCATTATACTGGGGGAAAAAAAAAACATACTTGAGGACTGGTGAAACAGATTAGAAGATTCAGACATAACTAAAAACACTTAGCCACTTCTTCTTTGACAAAGGGCTAAACATATTCCCTTAGAGAAATACAGCCACTTTGATAAATGGTGCTGGAAAAACTTGTTCTCTACATGCTGAAGACTAAAACCAGACCCATGTGTACCACCAAGACCTAAAGTAAAAATGCTTCAAGGATCTAAATATTAAAAAGAAAACCAAATCTACTGGATGAGAAAGTAGAAAGAAGTCTTGAGCAGGTAAGTGTAGGTAGAGAGTTCATAAACAAAATGCTGACTGGATGAAAAATACTTCAAAGAATCAACTACTAGGATCTCATTCTATATAAAAGCTTTTGTATAACAAAGGAAATCAACAAAATGAAAAAATACAGAGTGGTAAAAAAAATTTAGCAAGCTGTCCTGCTGACAGAGGACTTCTATCTAGAATGTACAAAGAATGGAAAAAACTTAGGACAACCATAAATTCAAAGAATAATCCAAAAATGGTCATCTGAGATGAATAAACACTTCTCAAATGATGAAATACAAATTGCAAATAAAATATGAAAAAAATGTTCAGCATCACTCATCCTTCAAGAATTAAGATAGCACTGAGATTCCATCCCAATCCAGAAAGAATAGCTATAATCAAGAAATCAACCAATTAGAAATGCTGGAGGAGTTGATATCAAGCATGATCCTTGATTATGAAATCGGGGAGAGAGGAAAACAAATTAACTGGGGACGATTAGATAAACTTACACAAGTACTGATAATGCATTATATTTCCCATATGTAATGATTATATATGATTATTTGAATATTCTTTATTCTTAGGCCAGATATATAGCTCAGCAACTCAGTGCCTGCCTGGTAAGCATAAGATCCTGTGTTTGATTCCCAATACAAAAAAAAATCCTTATTCTTACATGATATGTGCTGAAAGTTTAAATGTGAAGAATAATTATTTCTGTTATTCTTGAGTGACACATATCTATCCATCTACCTATAAAAAATGTGGTAATTATATCCAAAATTTTAAAATACATGCACTTAAAAATACAGGTACATTAGGCTGGAGAGATAGCTTGGTGGTGTAAGTGCTTGCCTGGAAAGTGCAAGGACTCGGGATTGATTCCTGGTACTGCATGCCGTGCTGGCCCCATTTCCCTGGTACGTCCAGCCTGAAACCAAGCATCGTGGCACATGCCTATAATCCCAGTGCTGGGGAGGCTGAGAAGGAGGATCACTACGAGTCTGAAATGCACAGCGAGACTGTATTGAATAAATATATGAATAAAAATTTAATAAAAAATACAGGTACATGAGTAGGCCAGATATTTAATCCAAACATCCTGCTTAATTATTTTTCAGAAAAGTCACTTAATGTTTATAAGAAAACTTGGGTAAAAATAATAGTTCAATTTATCTTTATTTTATTTCATCTTCATATAAAATGTTGCAAAAAGCTGAATGTATTTAAGGTCCCTGAACCATCAGTGTCATTAGCAGGCAATAATTTCACGGACCTGGGATGATGCATTTGCTTTCTGCACAATATTGAACAACACTTACTGCCTGAATAAACATTTTGGCAGCAAGGAAAAATATAAAACATGTTAACTGGAGAAATATTCACATGTTCTTGAGTCCTGAAATTTCAGATGTGTGCCACCACACCTGGCCAGATTTTATAAGACACATTAAACCTCTCTTGTGCATGTGACATTATTTACTATAAATATATTTTTTCTAAGTATAAATTTTCAAAAATCTAGCAAACAGTAGGCAATAGCCTGAGCAATTAGAATATAAAGCCAGCTTATTCTTGCTTTTTTATAGACAAACATCTCTGGATTAAATGATTATCCACTGTGTGTCACAGTGTGGTCTTCATTTTAAAACCTGCTTACATGGATTAAAAGTATTTTTGTATATAGAAAAAATAGGTCACCAACTGGCTGCAAATACATGGCTCATCTCTTTTAACATGATGTAAAATGAAGACACATCTTATGATTTTATTAAACTGAGATATAAATTACAAAATTTAAATGTTTAATTGATAGTTTAGACTGATGACATTATCAATATGATATTTTAAAATCAAGTGCTCATCTTCACTGGTTGTTTTAAGTATTTAAAAATGCTATGTATATGTTGCTATTTAAATATTTTTCTAATCTGAGTTATTTAGAACAAGGTAAAAAGCAAGTGTGAAATTATATTTTGAGCTTTAGCATGAGTTTAAATAAGCTCAACAAATGAAATGGTTGTATTTATTTTCACTGAATAATGACAAGTTAAACACTCCTTCCTGCAAATGTAAAACAATTGAAAAATTACTCTGTATTGTTACTTATGTCTGGGATTGGTTTTTCTTTTCCTTACAGTATTTGATGGAGCTCAGGTAAGATCTAGGAACTTGTGCCTATGTGATTACAGATCTAAGAACCAGAAGGTGAATGTAATCATTTTATGCTGCAAACATATACTAATGAAAAATAAAAACAGAAAAAGCCTCAAAAATTATAAATAGAGAAATAAACACACACACATGCAATGGTGTCAATTTTCACAACCATCTCTTCCCAGGACTTCTACTGGAGTGGATATGATATACTGTTCTGGCTTCCTCTGTCTTTCTGCTGCTGAGATGATGGAGTCTCGGCTGCAGCTTTTTCCTTTCTATCTGCCTCTTCCTCTCCTCTCAACCCTTCTTTTTTTCTTCAACATTTGGTGCACATCTGTCTGAAGACTAGAGAGGATAGCTGTGCCCAAGGAATGTAGTCAGGATCCTCTGAGTGTGTACCCAGTACTTACTTCGCTTTGGAGTGAATGCCATGAAGGACTGTTTGCCGCAGGTGTGGTCAGGCCAGCATGCGTGGAGGATCTACCAGTTGAGTTCCACACCTATGCAGGCCAGACTTCTCCAACTGGTGTTCACTTTCAGCCATCTAGGTATCTGGAAGTCAGCAGGGAAAACTTTAGAATTTATATCTGCTTCGTCATTCCATCACCTGTGTGTTCAAGGCACAGATTTTCTCTTCTATAATTTTTATTTATTCATTTATTTATTTTTATGTATTTAGTACAGGGTCTCACTACACAGATCGGACTCCTAGTGATCCTATTTTCAGACTCCCAAGCGCTGAGATTACAGGTGCACGACACCAAGCCCAGTCTCAACCGCCCTCTCCGCACGCTTTGGAGGCGGGGCTGGCACAGCACACCAGGGATCTAATCCCTTGCCCCTGGCTGGATCTGCCTAAACAGGCGCTTTAATCCGCTGAGCTCTCTGGCCGGCCCCACAATTCTTTGTAAGTTGCCTTGTCAAGAGATTTTTCATCTCTTACCAGTTCTCTCTTGCAGACCAATTCAGAGTCCCAAATCCCATCAAAATCACGTCCCTCTTTTTAAGAACAGTCTAAGTGAGTAGTTTAGACATCTATAGAGCTTGGCAATAGATGTTCTCACGTAGTTTTCAATATGTAACTCATATTCGCAAAGTTTACAGTTTGCAATTTACACTACCTGTACAGTACATGTTTACATCTTAATTACAACGATGTTAAGAATTGAAAGTTGTGGTTCATAGGAAAAAGCTGAGACCAAAGCCAATGCAGAGAAAAGCATAATTCATACCATCACTTCTATGCTTCGACCTTGCAGTTGTCATCTAGTCATATGACCAGTTTTCCCAGTGTCCAGAATGTAAAGTGACCCTAAACCCCTTAAATTGTGAAATAACGTTAAGGAATTCAACAGCAAATGCATACATAGTATTTTTAGAACGAGACCGATTTATACTTGAAGTTTTAATTGCAGCCATCTATCATGAAAATTTGAAACTTTCCATGTCTAAATATATAAATGAAACTTAAATGAGCCAGCTGCCTTCTTACATAGAGCATGTCATGATGAATCTATGAATGAGTTGATGAAAGCCAACAGGAAAGCTAAGAATATTTAGTCCTTCTCAATAATCCAAGCGACTATCAGCACCTTGGAGAGCTTCACGTTTTAAACTACTACCCACTCTAATATCTTAGAAAATAAAATGGGTACTTTGATATTTTCCATGTTCTTCGAAAAGTAAGGCATCTCATTTTTCATTTTGCTACCTGTAAACAGCCTATCCTTTGTCTATTTTAAATGAAACTGCCATGATCTGTAATCTCGTGAGAGCATATTTAGGCTGCATTAAACTACTTTCTTTTCCCTAAATCACCCATTTCTTTACCACGTCTGCAGATTAAAATATCCCTTTCAAAGGAACGGCCAGGCGAAAATCAGCTCATCTAGTCTTTCCTTGAGCAGTTTTAATTCCTGGGTATGATCTCTTTGGGAGGAGAGGTGAGAGTAGTTTGGACCCCGCAGGTGTAGCCTTAGGACTGCGGCAGAGAGCCGCAGATCAGATGGCCCCTGCTGACCTTTCTTGCCTCCAGTAATTTATGCCTCGCTAGTCCCTGTCGCGCACGCGCGCTCCTTCCCCGCACACAGACCGGACCAGCCTGTACCGCACCTGCTAGGTCATAAACCTCTCCCTATCCACTCTAGCTCCTAGCCCGAGTCTCACTCTCGTCTCCTGCTCATTGGTCGGAGCCCACGAGGGGCCGTCCAATCAGCAGCCCTTTCTGCCCCACCTAGCCAGCTCTTCCTGCCCGCGCCCGTCCCTCCCGGCCACCTTCCCTCTTTGTGACTGGTGCGTGCGCAGGTCACTCCGGGAGGCGGGCGAGGTGGGCAGTAGAGGGGTGGGGACGGGGGGAGGGGCCCAGGTGCGACCGTCGGGGGCGGGGCGCGCGCGGGCTTGAGGCGGAGCCAGCGCGGTCTGTGAGCGGAGGCCTGCGTCGTGGGGCTTGGCGCGCGGGAGGCGCAGAGGCCCAGCCTGGCTGGCGAGCTTTCCCTGCGGGCGGGCTGTGGTGACAGCGGCGCGGGAGGCACCAGGACGAGGGGTCCGTCGCCAGTAGGCGTCCTGCCATGGAGGAGGCGTTGGCAGCCCCGGAGCGGCCGCTGTGCGACAGCCTTATCCTGTGGGTGAGTGCGGGGCCTGGCTCCCGTCCGCCGCGCGCTGTTGTCGCGGGATCGGCCTCCCGCGAGCCCGCGCCCACCCGCGAGGCACCCCTCTGCTTGTCGCTGCCAGGCCGAGGCCCGGCGGTCGCCGAGCTCGTGCGTGCACGTGTACGGGGTGGAGACCCAGCTGCCCGGCAGTGAGCTAGCCTTCTCTTCTGACGGCCCCTCTTCCTCCATATTTTTCTTTAAGGAAAAAGAATTTAGCTTGTTTACGCTTTATCCATATTTAGGATTTGCGTTCATTTGTGTGATGTTGAGATCCAGGGTCAGATTTGTCATTATTGTAGACAGCAAAATGCCTTTTCACCTCTGGGAGGTTCCTGGGGATTGGAGAGCTGGCATCCAAGAGTGGCCCCCTGCGCGTGCTGCGCGAGGCTGGAGTCGGATTGGTAATGCATCCTCCGACCAGCGCGCTGTGTGTCGAGGGGCGTGTGCAGAACGGAATGTGATCGGGCTGGATCAGGAGTCATTCCTTGGCTGATAGATTCCTTTAACTATCTCCTAATGCTGTAATCCCAAGTAACGAGAAATTTGAAAGATTTTTGTTAGTGTATGAAGGCTGTTGGAGCTAGCTTTAATTTAAAGCGACTTTGAAGACCTTAGGAACTAAATAGCTTTTACTTTAAGTGGAATTTAAATGTCTAGGGTTTTTAAATTAAAGCAGTTAACAGGAAATCTGTATTTTCATTTAAAATAGCTGTTGGAGTTCAAATACTGTATTTAAGATTTAATGATGTTTTCTTAAGACAAGTGGTTAATTAAAGGGTCTGTCCTAATTTGGAACATAATGCTCTAACCCGGTCTGACTGTAAACTGTAATCTTTATGCCTCTGAATTTAATTTGGCATGGTAGAGAAGTACAGCATTTTCTTGAACTGTTAGTCTGATACTTTTAAATGTTATATGATTGTTCCCATTCTTTATAGTCAGAATCTGTTGACTCCCTATTTTGTGTAAGATGCTGAGGAAAGCATATTTAATTGGAATGGCAGGCAGAGCTGTGTATAATTACAGCGGAAAGCAAACTTGCTTAAAATCTGAAAACGTGTTAAGTTGCCCATGCTGACCTTGAACTCAAGAAAACAATACAATAGGTTATTTGCTTCAGCAGTCTTCTCTTGGGCTGCAAAACACCATGAAGAAAATTCAGTGAACAAACAGTTGCATTAGTCACTGCTGCTATTGCCAAATGTGACTTTTCCTGTTCACTTGCCCCATAACCTTGTCCAGTTTTATGGTTAGGAGTGACCAGACAGTTCTTTCTTCCTTTTTAGCAAAGCTCTATCATTACTCTGTTTGTCTTGCTTTCAGCCAGATGACCACCTCCTTCTCTTTGGCTCTGGCTTAAGACTCTGTCTCTTCCAGCTCTTCTAGAACTTTGCTTTATTACTTATCCTCTTCTGTATTTGTATTTCTTTCTTTCGTCTGGCTCTTTTCTTTGTATACATAAATGTGCTAAAATCTTCTTTTTCAAAAGATCAAAGCCTCCACTTCACTCACTGCATTTGTCTCTCTCAGTCACCTTTTATGCTCCCTTAATTCACTCACTCTACTCAGTGAAGTTTTCTTTCTCTAAGGCTTTTGCTTCATAGTGTTTGCCAAATGCAGTAATTGTAATCTAATGTTATTTGGTGCTTCCTTTGTGAAATTATCTTCTGTTTTAATTGCTAGGATACCTGTCTTTTGACTTTTCTTCTTTACGTGATTCCTGGTGAGCCTCACTGCTTGCTTTTGGCTTTTCCCAGCTCCTGCACCATTGATCCTCCTCACTTCCCTAAGTTCTCCAAATTCACTTCATGCTACACACCTCCATGCCTGCCAATTTTTCATTGATTTCCTGGTTTTTGAAGAAGCTTAGCTTTTTTAAATACACCTTTAAAGAAAAAACAAAAAAACAACCCCTGTCTCTTCTACCTAGATTATTCTTTTGGTTCTTTTATGGCTGGTTATTTTCACTCTGCAGGCTTTTGTTCTGCTGTTACCTTTCAGAGACTCGCTGTGACAGTCCTTTCTCAAGTAGGCTTAGTGGTGCATTTCTATAATGCCAGCTGTATGGGAGGCTAAAGCCAGAGGATTGAAAGTTCAATGCCAATTTGGACACTTTAGCAAGAGCATGTCTCAGAAAAATACATAGGGCAGGGGATGTAGCTCAGTGGTAGACCACTCCTGAGTTCTATCCTGGGTACTATAAAAACAAAATAATACGGGTACAAAACAGACTTGTGGCTCTGTGGAACACAGTAGAGGATGCAGAAACCTTATTCAGGTGTCTTATCTTGGACAAGGGGGCTGAAAGCATACCTTGGAGGAAAGATAACCTTTTTAAAAAGCAAGTAGTGATGGGATAAGTGGCTAGCACATGGAAAAGACTGGATCTAGACCCTCATCTATCACCATATATTAAATTAAAATTAAAATGGATCAGAGATCTAAAACAGAAATTGAGTTTAAAACAGAAACACTTGACCAGACTTGCTAGGAGATAAAATAAATGGAAATCTTGAAGACATAGGTGTAGGCAAGGACCCCTTGAACAGGACCCCAGTTGTACAAGAAATAACATCAAGAATAAACAGATGGAGGGCCAGCCAAATAGCTCAGTGGATTAAAGCACCTGCTTAGGCAGATTCAGGGGCCAGGAGTTTGATCTCCAGGCCTGCCATGCTGGCCCTGTCCCCAGGGCACACTGAGAGGCTGATTGAGCCTGGGCATAGTGGTGTGGGCCTGTAATTTCAGCACTTGGGAGGTGTAAACAGGAAGATCACTATGAGTCTGATCTATGCAGTGAGACCCTGTACACCCTGCCCTAAACACACACACACAAAAAAGAATAAACAGATGTGATCATAGCAAATTAAAAAGCTTCTTCACAAGAAAGGAAACAACCAATAGGGTATAGAAACAACTTACAGAATAGGATAATATTTTCACTAGCTATTCTTCAAAGGGAGGTCTAGTATCTAGAATATATAAAAAACTAAAAAAAAAAAAAATTGATCCTCCTAAAATTAAAAAAAGTTGAAAAATGGACAATGGAAGTAGACACTTCTCAGAAGTACAAATGACCAATGCAAGAAGAAATATTAAATATCTCTGACCATTGGAGAAATGGAAACTAAAACTCCAAGATCCCATCTTACTCCAAAAAGAATAACTATCATAAATAATAATAAGAGTAAATGTTGCTGAGACAGTGGGGTGGGTGGCATCTGTCTACATTGCTGATAAGAATGTAAACTAGTACAACTGTTATAGAAATCAGTATGGGGATACTTCATAAATTAAAACTGGAAATTCTATTTGACTCAGTTATTTCCCTTCTAGGTATCTTCCCCAAAAAGGTAAAGCTATCATATTGCAATGATATATGCATACCTGTGTGGATAGTAGGTAGCTATAAACATGGGTAGCTATTTATAATACCTAAACATTGGAAGCAGCTTATATGTCCATCAACAGGTGAATGGATGACATAAATATGTTTTTTTTACACAATGTAGCACTACTCTGGTATGAAGGACAAATAAGTCATTTGTGGGAAAATGGATGTGCCTTGAGACTATAACATTAAGTGAAATAAATCAGGCACATGGTTTAAATATTACATGGTTTCTCTTGGATGAGAATCCCTAAGTATAAGTAAATTAAAGAGAAAAATAAAAGATACGCAATAGGAAGCAGGGGAGAAGATCTTTTACAATAGGAGATGGACCAAAGGAAGGTGAGAGGGGAGCAAAGAGAGGATGTAAAAGAGTTAGCATATGTCCTGTGCATGTACCATCTACCTGTGATGAACATATTCATTATATACTGCAAATGTGCTAATAATAAATGCAAAAAACAAAAGAAGGAAAGCAAACATAGTAGTACTTATCTGTTGCCCACCCCTTTGTTTATAATTTGCTCACCCTCTTCTCTCATTACATCATTATAACAGTTAACTCTTAAAATCATCCAGTGTGCTACTTGACATTAGAGCTCTTGTCTGACCTGTTTTCTACTGTACCCTCTTTCCCCCAAAATAAGACCTAGCTGGAAATAATCACCCTTGAAAACCAGAGATCACAAATGCCAGCCTCAATCAGCCTATCCTTGCTTGACTTGCCATCACTGTTTTCTTTCTCCATGGCTTCTCTGTAAGGCAAGTTGCTGGACTTTACTTTTACCAATAAATTTTGAATATTGAATTAAGTGTTTTTAATGGTTCTTTTGGTTCACCTGACTTTGACAGGTATAAAAAAGAAAAAAAAATACATATGCAAATTAAGAAAATTACTTAAGACTGAGTTGTTTTTAATGAAGATCTTAAACCTAAAAATAGTGTCTTTCTGAAATGAGGACCTGGGCTGGCCAAATAGCTCAGTTGACTAAAGCGCCTGCTTAGGCAGATGCAGGAGCCAGGGTTCGATCCCTGGGCTGCTGTGCCAGCCCCACACCTGGGATGTGCTGAGGTGGTGGATTGAGACTGTGCATGGTGGCACACGCCTGTAATCCCAGCCCTTGGGAAGCTGAAAACAGGAGGTTAACTACGAGTCCGATCTGTGTAGTGAGACTTTGTAAACTCTGTAGACCTTGCACTAAATTTAAAAAAAAAAAAAAAAAAAAAAAAAGATAAGAAAAGAAAAGAAATGAGAACCTGAAGGAGGGGACTCTGAAGGTAGATTTGATCAAGATTTTTTTATTTTTGGCTGGCTGAGCCCACCCTGAGGGTGGTGCTGGTGCAGCATGTGGTGCTCAGGATCCAACAGATGTCCCCTGTACCTGCCTAGGCTTGCCTAAGCAGGCGCTTTAGATCATTGAACTATCTTGCCAGCCCCGATAAGATTTTTTTGTTTGCTGTCAATTTTGAAGACCCCTTCTTTAATAATTTATGTGATGCTCATATTGAAGCAGTTCAATAATAGCACTTCCACATTTGTGATTATTTGTTTCATTAAAAACGTATAGAAGGGAGGAGCCAGGGAGATAGTTCAGTAGAATAAGTGCTTGCCTGACAAGTGTAAGGGCCTGAGTTCAATCCCCGGTTCTGCCAATAAACAAACAAACAAAAACCAGAAAGAAATAATGCTGTCATTTGCCAGAATAATGTGCTTCATTGTGGACACTCAGGGGAGCCCTATCTGTCCTTTTTGGGTCACTTCCTTCTTTTGCCTCTTATAAAGAATAGTGTAAAAGATTCCTTTTGTTTTTTCTTCTGATTTGGCCTCATACTTTGAGCAGTGCCTCAGCTTTTTAATATTTTGAGCAGTGCCTTAGCTTAATTTATTCTCTGTTGTTGGTTACAAAAGCTTTTAGTATAGCTAAATTAAATGAGTTTCTCTATTACCTAATTTAATTCCCAACTATTTCTTGAAATAGAGTTGTTTTAATCTCTCTCTCTCTCTCTCTCTCTCTCTCTCTCTCTCTGCCCTTTCCTCCCACCCACCAGCAATCCAACTCATGATCTTGTGTTTGCCAGGCAGGTATTTATGCCACAGAGCTATATTCCTGGCCCAGTTTTACTATCTTTCAAAAACTGTTATTAGTACATATTTTCAGTATATATGTTCACATTCCTACTAAGCTTGTGGAATTGGTAACAGTCTGGTTGTTGTCCAGGCTATGAGGAGGAGAAATTGATTGTAATCTGAAAGTAGTGAGCAAGAACACAACTCCTTAGTGTATATTTTCCTTATATAGTACATGTATATTTACTATTTTGCCTAATATTTTGTGGCTGCAATATTGTCCTTATAAAATCATGGTTGAATATATTCATATCCATATATCTAAATGGGAATATTCATATCCATTTTATAAAATGCTAATGATGTGACTCTTAAGTTGCACAAAAAAGTTAATGTTTAAGTAGGAAGGAGTGAAAAATGGAAGCTACAGTTTATTTTTCATTTTAAAAATACTTTAAGATAAATTTGAGACTTATAACTAAATGAGTGGACCTTGAGACCATAATCAAAAGTGAGATAAATTGAACACACATGTGTAAATACCTCATTATCATTCTGATGTGAGAAACTGAAAAGGTAGATTAGAAAATAAATGTATAATAGATATTTTGAAGTAGAGGAAGAAATTCTTCAAAAGATAAAAGAAACTAAGGAGGAGAGAGGGGAAAGAAAAAAATGAGGAAAGGATAAAATGAAAACTCAACTTTATGAATGAGGAGAAGGGATTTGGAAAGGGGATGAGAATGGAACAATATCACGTGTAGATACAAATTCCCTATAATGAATGTGGTCATTATATATACCTCAATTGTACCAATTAATAAAGTACAGACACACACACACACACACACACACACAGAGGAAAAATAGCTTTAAGTTCTGGGATTTTTCTTCTCCACAAATACAAAAATGCAAAATCATTATTTTACATTCCAAATATTCCATAAATTTATTTTGTCCTGTCAGATTTGTAGAAACCATAGCTCATAGCTAGTTTGCTAACAGCTGTTGAGCTCATAATGACACAGGGAGAAGAAACTCCCAACCAGCTGGATGCTGAAAACATGTAAGTTTGTTTGCTCTAAATCAAGGAGTGAAATATCCAGGCTTTTGGGTCATCAACTTCACATGGTGGATGGATCCCTGACGCTTTATGCTTAAGGCCAAATGGTTGTTTGGGGTTTTTTTTTTTTGTTTGTTTTTTGTTTTTTGTTTTTTTATTTAATTTTAGGGAAGAGAACAATGGAGGTTTAAGAGTACTAAAAATTCATTGAGAGAAAGCAAGCTTCTGTCTGAGGGACAGAGGGAGGCCCAGAAAGTGGGTTGCCTGTCAAATCTGCTTCTCAAGGGTGTGTACTGAGCAAAGCTGTGAAGCGAGAGGGGCTTAATGTGGAACAGAGTATAATCAATCAAAATTACTAGTGGCTTAGGTAATATTGATCCAATGGTAAATCATAGGTTTGGTGTGAGGTAGGACAAAACCATGGTCAACCAATAAGTATACAACAAATATAGTTGGTTGGGTAGAACTGCTTAAATGTGGATCAAAGGGTAAAACAGATCAAGCAGCTGGTACACATGTGACATACATGGACTTTCCTGAAAGGGTGGGTTAAGGAGGTTTGGTTTTCCACCCTAAGGTAATTGATGCTTGCTTACTTAGAATGTTAATCACTGCTGTTCTTCCTAGGGGAAGTAGTTCTTTTACTTGAAGTCTGGCTTTCAGTGAATGTACTTCCAGCCATAGTTGCCTTCTACTTTGACCTCTTAAGGGCCCTACTGGGCCCTGTCTGGCCCCTTAAAGGCCTTATTAGCTACAATGTTTCTACCTAACTTACCTATAATAACACCACTGGTCTGAATGTGTTTACTATTTGATTTGATCCTTACCCCTATCTTCTGAGGGAGAAATTGTTCAGTTTCCCATTCCATAAAAGTGCCACTAAGGCTGTAAATCCAAGCTTCCTGGCCTTTTGTCTTTAATTTCCTGTCATCCCTTCCCCATCCTTTGTACTGCAAATCCAATGAGATGAGAGCATATCTGCATATGAGCATATGTGCGCATATGCCATCCTTTTTCCCGTCTTTCTACTTTTAGAATATTGCAGTTTCCGCGGGCTTCCTTTTACTACCTCCTGCCATACTTATAGAATATGCTAATAATCCCTTAAGATCTATCCAAGAATCACCTCTGTGGTGTCTTTCCTAAATATAAATCCTAATTAGGTTAGTTGAGTCTTATATATTTTTTAAACATTTTGTGTGTACTTCAATTGTGAAACTTATATTACCTAAAATGATATAGTTTAAGGGCTGGTGAGATAGTTCAGCAGACAACGCACCTGCTTTGGAAAGCATAGGGGCTAGGGTTTGAGGTCCCACATGCTGTGACAGCCCCACCCCCAGGGTGTACTGAGCCTGCTAGAAGTCAAGGCATGGTGGTACATGCCTGTAATCCCAGCACTGCGGAAGCTGAAAACGAGGATCATTGCTAGCCTGAGCTGCATAGTGAGACACTGCATCAAATACACAAATGAAAAAAAATCTTTTTTTCTGTTCCTTTACCCTTAGCTGGAGCTACTTGAAGGGTACCATCCTAATGGTTATCCATTGAAACTCCATCCTCTATCATAGTATACCAAGCAGAGTAGGAGCTTAGTAGAAGTATCTTTGTGTATTTTGAAAGTGACTAATGTTAGTCTGTCTGTGATAGTCTGTCCAGAGATAGATTTGTAGACTCTAAAAACACATGGAGCTACCAGTGGTAAACTGAGGGAGAGAATTCTATTGGGTTATGATACTTACGTGATAAGTGCAGAAATTCTAAGTCAGTATTGAAGATGAAGGTGTGTGGGAAAAGAGAATTGTTGTGCAGTTATTTGAAGATCCTTGTGGTTTGAAATTAGATTTCTGGAAAGAATATGAGCCATTTTAGTTGTGATATAATTTGCTTTCTGAAAGTTTTCGTATTTTCTGGTTGCTTTTTTGAAAAAGTTGGATACCATTCTGCTTCTATTTTTTCATGTATGTAGTAATGTCTAGCAAACAAGGTTTTTAAAAGTTAGTCATTATAAAACTAAATGAGATATAAACAGCTTCACATGATGGATGGACCCTTGACTCTTTATGCTTAAGGCCAAGTGTTTTGTGGGTTTTTTTGTGTGTGTTTTAGGGAAAGGTCTACAGGGTATTCAGGGTCTCACTACTAGATCGTACTGATAGTGATCTGCCTGTTTACAGCCTCCCCAGGGCTGGGATTATAGTCTTTTTTTTTCAGAACCAGGGATTGAACTCAGGCCTTTGAGCTTGCCAGGGAAGCACTTATTCCACTGAGCCATCTCCCTGGCCCCAAGAGCTGGGATTACAGGTGTGCGCCACCATGCCCAGTTTCAATTTCCGTCTCAGCGTGCCCTGGGGGTGGGACTGGCCTGGCAGGCCCTGGGGATTGAAGCCCTGGCCCCTGCACTGGTACTTTAATCTGCTGAGCTAAAAAGCTGAGCAGGATTTTTTATTTTTTTTTGGCTAGCTCAGGGTGCCTTTAGGGCGGGTCTGGTAAGGCACGTGAAGCTGGAGATCCAACCCCACCGTGGTATCCTGGGCCTGACTGTGTTTGCATGAGCAGGTACTTAAACAACTGAGCTAACCAGCAGGCCTCCTAGGGCCAAGTTTTGAATAGTAGTAAAAGGTACTGTTTTACCTCAGAGCCTATGAATAAACTATAAGTAATTGTTAGATTTGACTTTTATAACTTTATGTTTTTTATCAAATGAGTGAAATGTGAACTTATAAATGTTATCTCAAAGTCCTCTTTCCAATGTTTTCCTAAAAATAAAGACTAGAGTTATATATCTGGCTTAGCATTATTAAGAAATTCTGAGTTACTTCACACACAACATTAATGTATCTTACTGTATTAGGCATGAGGTTTTGCACTAAGTGTATTTTATATACATATTATACAGTCATAGAAACATATTAGCATATTTTCATTTGTTTGAGAGGTCAGTATTTCAATAAAGTATAACACTTTATAACTGTTTTTTGTTTGTTCTATAATGCTACCCTGTAGGGATAATAAAGCAAATAAGGTCACTTACTTTATGTCATTTTAGCTGCAGACATTCAAGACTGCCTCACCTTGTCAAGATGTGAAACAGCTGACTAGTGGAGTTGCCATGGCACAAGTTCTTCATCAAATGTGAGTAAGAGTCAAATTCTGACTAAAAAGAATTATAAGCCCAAGAACACTTACACTCGTATCTCCAGGTCATTGAAATTTTATCCTATTCAGTGACATGTTCAGACATCACAGTACCAAGGCTTTCTTACAATGAGGTGATGAAAACATTCACACCATATTATTGCTTGATTATTCATAGAGACACATCTTAATTATATATGGGGGAAAAGTTCTTACTTATCCAAGAAATTTTATTTTAACATAATTCTGGGCATGTTCACAAGATAATAATGACAAAAGTAAAAGGTTAATGAATGAAGTGCTTGTTTCTTCCCACAGTTGCAGAAATGAATTTTTCCTACGGATATATTACTGTTATTTGAAGTTACCAGTGCACAGAGATTTCTTTCTGAAAGATTATTGAGACATATAGTTTGGGATTTGGGAAAATGTTGAATTTTAAGTCTAATTTGAATTAATAGTAGTAATTTATGAATTACCAACCATGAAGTAATGAGTGAAATGTGAAGTCACAGGTGCTATTCACTGTACTAATAAATTTATTTTTTAACATGAACCTATTTTGTATGAAAAGTTCCTAAGTTTGCTAATACTTTTCATAGATAATACATTAAATTTATATCTCAAAATAAATAGGGTTAAGAGCCAGCCAAATAGCTCAGTGGATTGAAGCACCTGCGTAGGCAGATGCAAGGGCCAGGAGTTTGATCCCTGGGCCTGCCGTGCTGGCCCTGCCCCTGGGGCATGGTGAGAGATGGACACTGAGACTGGCTGTGAAGGTACGCACCTGTAATCCCAGCACTTGGGAGGTTGTAAACAGGAGTATCACTATGAGTCCGATCTACGCAGTGAGACCCTGTAGACTCTGTAGACACTGTCCTAAAATACAAAAATAAATAAATAAGGTTATAATATAGTCCTCAATAGGACAAAAAAGGCCAATTCTATTCCCCTAATTTATTAATAGTCATGATGATTATAATAGTAGTCATAATTGTCATAATAATAATCATAATAATAGCTTATTTTGAAGCCCAGATTCTGTCTCTGCTTATTAGTGTATGATCAGAAATTGATTATCTGTTACCTTGTCGTAAAGCTTTGTTTTAATGAACACTGAATACTACCTCATAAAAAGACAGCTTAAAATTATTATTATTTTGTTTTAAAGGTGATGGATATATTTATGCCACAGATAGTGATAATGATCTTACTGATATGTATTTATCCCAAAACTCAATTTTTGAACATGAAATATATAGCTTATTATAGCTCAATTATAAAGTGTTTTTAAAAGTACATATATAGAATATAATTTTTCAAGAGATATATAGGCCACACACGCCGGTAATCCCAGCACTGGGGAGGCTGAAAACAAGAGGATCCCTAGGAATCTGAGCTGCATAGGGAGACCCTGTACCTTATTATTTAAATAAATAAATAAATAGGGGTCAAGGGAGATGGCTCAGTGGAATAAGTGGTTGCCTGGCAAGCACAAGGTCCCGAGTTCTATCCTTGGTAATGTAAGGGGAAAAAAGTAAGTTAAGTATGACAGGTTAGTAATTTAATAGTTCTCCATTAAAGGAAAGCCCAGGCCCACATGGCTTTACCTGTATAATCTGCTCACAGGTATGTTCTACTGCTCGAGAAATAATTAAAACTGATTCTTCACCAAAAAAA